ATCATGTGCTTCTGTGACATGAGAATCACCCCAAGCAAATAGGCTTCAGGTTTGTGGGCACAGTACCAGTTGCCACCTAATGCAGAGACAGAACTGGTAGAGACTGCAATGAAATGATTTCAAAAAGATTACTGGGGGAGCACAAGGTAAAAAGGTACTGTCAACCTACTTTGTTTCTCTCAAATAGAACGTGCCAAGGTTATGCCTGCAGAGCAAATCCCTCTTGTTCTGTACAACCTCCTGAGTTGGGGTATAACTGAATTACTCTAAAAGGTGCAACCTAACAAAGTATCATTGTGGAATTAAAGAATTTCAGAGCTGAAAAGGGCCTCCCAAGTTATGGGATTCAGTAGTTCTCTTTTTGGGGGGTATCACCAGCTTCTCTGGGAAGATGAAAACTTAGAAATTCATATAAGGTACAAGTAGGCACAATTTGGAGTTTCATTTGCAAGCGCTCAAAGTCTATGAATCCTAGATTAAGAACTACTGATCGTGTGTGTCCCTGTTCCTCATTTTAAATTCCAGAAAGTAAATCCCTGAACCTTTCTGGGATTCATTTGTCCAAGTTCACACAGCAAGGTAAAAGGAGAGCTGATGTTCAAGTAACTCAGTACTCCTGACTTCAAGATGCTCTGCTCCACTGCACCTTAGAGAGACGCTGTGATTATCTGTATCCACAGAACTATGAAGTCACTCACGTTGTTGTCTGAATTAGCAAATTAAATGAATTTTAGGCTAAGGACGAGAACAGTTGTTCCCCCCCCCCAAAAAAAAATGGAAAAAACTCAACATTAGAAGTATGATGGCCTAACCAGTCCTGGCACTTCTATGTGAATCCCTATCACCTAGGATGTTTGTGGGAAGCATTAAGGTTCCTACACCCCATCTTCACAAGCTGAGACTCAGTATTTCTGCAGTAGAGCCCTGACAGCTGTACTTTTAGTAAGTATCCTAAAACACTGTAATTGAATGATTCTCAAATTATATCCTACAAATGCTAGTTTACAACAGTGACTTCCAATATTTTTTTCAGAAGCTCGATTCTTTTTTTCAAATCAAGTCTTATTTGGAAATCCAGAGACAAATGAAGGCAGAGTGGCTGCATGGGCTCTGGGAGCCAGTTTGAAAACCACAGTTGTAGAAGACACAGTGCTGGTAATGGGACCAGGAGCTGGTCTTCACCATTCCTGAGTCTCAGTTTCCTCATTTATAAAATGGTTTGTCCAGACTATCTCTAGATTTCCTTTTATCTCCAGTATCTTCTGATCCCATAACACCACCACCACCACTACTACTAGCTAATATTTAGCAGGCACTTGCTGTGTTCCTAACACTGTTCTTATAAGGATTCAATCCTTATAATCACTCTATGAAGTACTATTAATTTTAATACTGATAAGGAAACTGAGATCCAAAGAAGTTATAGGACAATAACTGTGATAGGAAATTTATATATGCATTCTCTTATTTAATTTATAAGACAAAATTGGGAAGTAGAAATGGAGATTTAGAAAGGTAATTACTTAATGTCAAAAACCTGGGATTTAAATTCAGGTCTACCAAATCCCAAAATCCATTCCTTAACCAACATATTGGCACAGGTTGCTGCTATGTTGTAACAGGAAATCTTTTAAATGGCGTCCATGTATGTGTTGTCATTGTGGTATTAATGATATACATTCATATTTTTATGGAGATGATTTATCTCCCAAACTAGATTATGAACATTTTGAGGTCAGGGATTATTCTTCTATTTCCTACTCTCTGAAATATGGGTTGTGAATTATATAAGTCTTTATTCAATTAGGAGTTATCTGAGTCCTATTTTATTTTCTCACAACCCTGAGATCATGACCTGAGCCCATGACCAAGATTTGGATGCTTAACCAACTGAGCCACCCAGGCACCGAGTCCCATCTTTTATTAACTTGATTTTTTTTTTCAATAATCCAAACTAAAGATACTAATTTCACTAGATCAACTCTTGAAATTAAAAAATTTCCCTGAGTCAGTTGCTGGAAGGGAGAAACAAAACAAAACAACAAAACCACCCTCTTTCTTTCAGCCTAATGATTTCACATTTGCCCTTGGGGTGAGGAATTATCTTTTAGTGTCAATATTATTAAGTATCTCTTTTCTAAGCTCTTCTTTCTCAGTAATGCTTCTTGGCATTTTTCACTATATCAGCTGATAGGTAACAGACTGAAAATAAGCAGGTGGTTTAAAGACAAGGATGGAAAATATTGGAAGGTGTCTATAATACCTACTTATGCCTCTTGAAAATACTGGTTTGACATGCCACAGGAAGTAGTGTCAAGTAGTATTTGTTAAACACTTAGCAAGTAATAATGCATTTAAGTCATTTTTCTTAAATACTGTATTAATTTTTGGATATTCTTGGCCTGTGGTCAAATACACCATCATCTTTGAACTATGATTCACTGCCAATATACTTGACATTTGTTCCTTAGGACTACTGCAGAATCTCCACTGTTCATCCTCAGCTCCACAGTTATACCAGCAGCCCCATGAGAGCTGCAATTTCCCAGTTGTGACCTACTTTAAGCATATTTTTGAGATTCATGTTAATCTAACATCTATATAAATTTATGTAACATAGATAAAGCTAGTCAAAATAAGAATTGGGACTAAATTAGGATCAAGAAAAAAAAAAAGGATCAAGACACTTTGGTCTCCAAATTTTGACTGAACAGACTGTCTAGAGCAGTAGTTCTTACATCTCCTTTCAGAAATTTCTTTAAAATGTAGATGCCCAGGGATCCCTGGGTGGCGCAGCGGTTTAGCGCCTGCCTTTGGCCCAGGGCGCGATCCTGGAGACCCAGGATCGAATCCCACATCGGGCTCCCGGTGCATGGAGCCTGCTTCTCCCTCTGCCTGTGTCTCTGCTCTCCTCTCTCCCTCTCACTGTGTGCCTATCATAAATAAATAAAAATTTTAAAAAAAAAAATGTAGATGCCCAGAACCCTTCCTCAGGCCTATTGTTATATCAGTTTCTTAGTGTATAGCCCAGACACCTGTTAGTTGAATAAGCACCACAGGTGATCATGATGCTTACCACAGTGAGGCACATCAGGTCTCCAATCACTGAACAAAGGAGTCGTTCAAAGCATTTAAGGAGTGCTTTCTACCAATATAAAATTAGAATATAAGCACAGATTTTTTTTTTTTAGTATAGTTTCTTGGGTCATAAATTAATAAGCAACTTGAAGAGGTCCATGCTCTATGGTCTTTTAAAAAAAAACAAAAACAAAAAACAAAACAGGGGCCACTGGGTGGCTCAGTTGGTTGAGCATTCAACTCTGTTCCAGCTCAGGTCATGATCTCAGAGTTGTGAGATCAAGCCCTGCATCGGGCTCTGTGCTTAGTGTGGAGTCTGCTTGAGGTTCTCTGGCTTTCCCTCTGTCCCTCCCCATGCTTGTGCTGGCTCTCTCTCACTCTAAATAAAATCTTTAAAAACCAAATGAAAACTTCCTTTACCTTATCCCTAATACCTAGTTGGGCATATAGTAGTATGTAGTAGGCAAACGCTACATTGTTCTAATTATCAGCCCCTCAAATAAAACACTGATAACTTTTTTTTTTTTAACATTGATATATCTTCAGGTACTGCATCAGAGAATATTTTTTAAATGTGGACCCTCTGGGCATCATTCTAAGGAATCCGTGTGTGTGTGTGTGTGTGTGTGTGTGTGTGTGTGTTACTAACTACATTGAGGCTGGGGCACCTGGGTGGTTCAGCGGTTAAGCATCTGCCTTCAGCCCAGGGTGTGATCCTGGAGACCCAGGATCGAGTCCCGCATTGGGCTCCCTGCATGGAGTCTGCTTCTCCCTCTGCCTGTGTCTCTGCCTCTCTCTCTCTCTCCCTCTCTCTGTGTGTTTCTCATGAATAAATAAATAAAATCTTAAAAAAAAAAAAAACTATATTGAGGCTAAGCCAGAAAGACTCTGACCATAGCATTAAACTTCTGTTTTGAAGTTTGGCTGTAAACTCCAAATAAAACATAAACTGGAAAACGTATATCAAGAGTAGGGAAGACGAGTATCTCGACAAATGTAATTGAAGTATCTCAACAAATATCATTTTCTTTCTTTTCTCCATATCCCAACCCTTATTTCTTCCCTACTCTCGTATCATCTCTGTTCTCTAGAGAATCTGCAAATAATGGAATGCCACTTGGCTACTTTGAACCAGGAGCTTACAAAAATGCTTCTCAAAAAAAAACAAAACAAAACAAAACAAAAATGCTTCTCAAAGTTTGCTCATCCTGAAATCACACATCATAACTCAAATGGGCATGTAAAATCTCCCCTAGACCAGAAGAGCTAGGAAGAATGCATATTAGATGCTGTATTATCTCCCTCTCCGTGTTATGCATTTTAAGGGAATCATGACATGAAGCTAGCTGTGACCAAGGGGCACTGTGGGGCAAAATGGCTTTGGCTGAGGCAAGAGTTCCAATGTGACACATGCGGGAGATGAGTCTGTTTAACATTTGGGTAACACATCATCACTCCTCCAGCTATGTTCATACACACCCAAATGTGACGGGGTCTTCATGCTACTGGAAAAGGGAGAATGGCCACCTCAGATCTTTTTTGTTAGGCTTGTTAGAGAAGAGCAGGAAGACATAGGGAGGGGAAATAAGACACACTGAGAAACCCAATAAAGAGATAATGGGGAACAAGCTAGTGCTGCCACATCAGCACACAGAGAACTCTCCAGTGTCCTTCACTGTCTGTAAAGGAGATGAAAAAAATGAGCAAAGAAACAAAGTCACTGCAGGATATACCAGTTTTACAGATTCTCCATAATCTTAAATGTCTCCCTACCTGCTCTCTCTAAACCCTTTAGAGTAACTCATTGATTTCTTTCCTTGTCTTAGAAAAATACTAACTTGTAACAAGAAAAAAAAAATGAAACCTTTTTCAAAATCCACAAGAAAAAAAAAATCACAGCCTTGAAGGCATTCCTTACTTACCAATTTTGTAACGTCCTTCACATCATCAGTCACACGTTTCCCGCAGATCCCTTTAGTTTTGACCAGAGGATTAAATAGGAGCAGCTGAAGATAAATGCAAGTGATAATCCAAGTCTAAATGAAAACAGAAAAATTGCTGGTGATGATGGGTTAAAATCCATGAACACTTTAGTCCATCTTAAACCTTAACGTGGAAAGACAATCTACATTAAAAAAAAAAATGCTACTGGCTTAAATACAATTAAATGCTGAATAACTGAAGTATGCTTACCAAGTTTTTTTTTAAATTGTCAATTAAAATGTGGTTTGGATTTTTCATTTCTATGACATTATTAACTTTTGTCAAAAGCTTTCTAAAACCAATTTCCTAATGGTAATTTAGGATTGAACGTGCAGCAACATCTACCACTTACGGTGTTTTCTAAAAACTAGGAATGTATAAAATTCCTACCTTAAGGCACCAAATAAAAGTTTCTATACTTTAAGTGTAGACTGTTTGGCAAGTAGCAGCAGACCTGAGCAGTGCTTTAAATCCAATAGTGTATGACAGTACACCGAAGTGAGGCAGAGAGATGTATTTTTAGATCTAGGCAGAATTTAACCTCATTTATGAGACATCAAAAGAATCATTGTTTTTAAACATAGCTTTTTAACCATTTACTACGGAAAAACATTTTCTTAGTGAATAGAAAGACATTCTTGTAATCACACACACACACACACACACACACACACACATATATACACACGTGGTTACACATACCTCTCCTTGAAAATAACACAGCCGTGTTTTATAGTTACTTTATGTAGGACTTATTTTTTTTATACTATATTTTAAGAAATTTGGCACCCGATTCTCTTTTTTTTTGTTTAAGTATCTTTATAGCCTGTAACATGGCACCTTGCTATTAAAAGTTCTCGGTATTTGCTGGATGAATCCATGATGAAGGTCTAATGCTTCAAATTCAAATCCATTTTATTGAGCAGATATTATGAGACAGGGACTGTGCCAGCCACTAGAGAAATAAAGGTGATGAAGGTGCCCTTGCAACTCAGAGGCAGGTACATAAATAACATGCACGCTCTGTGACAAATGCTTTGGGAACACAAAGGAAGAAACAATTAACCAATTAACCATAAGAAGGAGAACCCTTGGCAGGAAGATGATGCCAAGAAAAGCCAGAGAGAAAATGTGACTCTGGATGGCTTTTGGAGGACAAGGAAGATTTTTTAAGAGTTGACAAGGAAGGGATGAGTATTCCAGGAAAAATAAACAGCATGAGCAAAGGCATGGAGATGTGAAGATAATTTTAAAACGCAAGAGTTCATGAGTTAACATTCGTCTATGGCATCTTAAAATGACACAACATCCATCTGCACATGGCTAGAAATCTTTCCTATTTATGTAGCTGCCATGTATTTAAAAAAAAAACTGGGATTATTTTCCACTAATACCTGCATGCTACCTAGATATTACACTGGAGCAAATGAGGATTATCATTTACTGAAATTTCTGAGATTACAAGCCTACCTACATAGATAATAATAGCTTATAAACAAAATTTAAACCTTTTTATTGTTTGATGAATGTGATCTAATTTTAGCAATAATCCCGTTTAAGTTTGATTAAGGCTCCTTTGAGTCCTGTGGGGCCACACTCTTCATAGCACGGTCTCCTCTGGACCAAAATGAAGACTGAATTGTGCAAAGTCTTTCTGAGAAGCAACCAGGATGTTCTGCATAGGTGGATAAATAAATTGTGGTATACTGGACCATGGACTATTATTCAGCACTAAAAAGAAATGAGCTATCAAGCTATGAAAAGCCCTGGAGGAAACTTCAATGAAAGAAGCCAATCCAAAAGGCTACGTACTCTATGTACAATCCCAACTATTATGACATTCTGCATAAGGCAAAACTACGGAAACAGTAAGATCAGCGGTTACCAGAGGTTGTAGGGTGAGGGATGAATAAGTGGATTATGAGATTTTTTTCTTAAGATTTTATTTATTTATTCATGAGAGAAAGAGAGAGAGAGGCAGAGACACAGGCAGAGGGAGAAGCAGGCCCCTGTGAGGAGCCCGATGCGGGACTTGATCCCAGGACCCCGGGATCACATTCTGAGATAAAGGCAGACACTCAACCACTGAGCTACCCAGGCATGCCAACAAAAGATTTTAAGGGCCGTGAAAATACTCTAATACTCTAATCGTAGATACATGTCATTATACATTTGTCCAAACTCACAGAATGTACAGCATTTATGCATTTGTCTAAACTCACAGAATGTACAAGTCCTAGAGTAAACAATGGACTTTGGATGATTAAGATGTGTCACTGTAGGCTAATCAATTCTAACAAATATACATAACTCAGTACACATGTAGGGGCAGGAAGCATAGGAGGAATCTGAACTTTCTTCTCAATTTTGTTGTGAACATACAACTGTTAAAAAAAGTCTTTAAAAAAAAATCACTTTGATTGCTGTGCTGAGAACAAACTTTAGGGTAGCAATAGGTAGAAACAGGGGCTCTTGTTATAATCTGAGCAAGAAAGGGTTATAGCAATGCACTCACTGACCATGGGTGGTTAGATTCTGGAAGTCTCCTGCAGGCTCAGCCAATAAGATTTCCTGACAGCTGGAGTGTGATTTGAAAGAGTCAAAGGTTACTCCAAGAATTTGGGCTTGAGCAAATGGAAGGATGGTGTTGCCATCAACTGATATGGGGAAGGCTGAGGGTAGAGAAGGCCTGGAGGGGGAGATCAGGACTCAAATTTGGAGTGTGCTAAGTTTGAAATGTCTCTGAGGTATTTTAGTGATGATACTAGGTCAGGATATTTGAATCTGGATTTAGAAGGGAAGTTTGGGCTGGATATATAAATGATAGCCCTTGATGTATAAATGGAATTTTAAGCAAAAGAGTAGATGGACCTATCAAGAGAGTGAATACAGACAGAAAAAAGAACAAAGAATTGAATCCTACGGTGCTCTAACTCTAAGAGGTCTGGCGGAAGATTCAGAACTCACAAAAGAGCTCGGGAGCTTGAGAGAGAAGCCAAAGGAGTTGGAGGAAGCCAAGCTTAAAAAAAGAAAAATTACCTGGAGGAGGAGGTCAAACATTGTCAAATACTCCTAATGGGTCACGTAAGAGGAGAACTGACCACTGTATTGCGAAGAACACAGGTCACTGGTGACACTAGCAAGGACATTTTTACTGAAGCAGTTATGGGAAAAAGCCAGTCTGGAGTGGGTTTAAGAGAACCTGAGAGAGTAATTGGAAACAGTGAATGGAGACAGCTCTTTTAAAGAGCTGTCCTTCAAAGGGGAGCAAATAAACTAAATAAAAACAAAGTGGGGTAGCAGGTGGCAAGGCCTTGGGGGGAGGGAAGAGTTTTCTCTGTAAGATGGGCAGAAACACCAGGCTGTCCGTATTGATTATGCAGCAGGAGGGGGCACGGGTGATGTGGGGCAGAAGAGGGGCAGCCTCTTGAGCAATGTCCTTGAAAAGGCAGGAAGCCGTGAGATCCAGCTCTCAATCACAGGGCCTGGCTCTAAATAAGAGTATGTATGGTTCAGCAGTACTATCAGACAGCTTGTCCAAAAATGCTGAGTGCAGATGCTGGTGGTCTTTCTTCTTTCTTTCTTTCTTTCTTTTCTTTCTTTTTCTTTCTTTCTTTCTTTTTTAATTTTATTTATTTACTCATGAGAGACACATACACAGAGGCAGAGACACAGGCAGAGGGAGAAGCAGGCTCCATGCAGGGAGCCCAATGTGGGACTCGATCCTGGGACTCCAGGATCATACCCTGAGTCGAAGGCAGGCGCTAAACCACTGAGCCACCCGGGGATCCCCGGTTTTTCAACACAGTGAGCAGCAGCTATTTACTGAGCATGTATTATGTACCAAACATTGTCTGTATCTTATCACAAACAAACTTTAAATTTCATATATCCGAATTTTAAAGATGAAGAAATTGAGCTACAGAGAGATCTGGTGACTTCTAAGTGCTAAAAACCAGATAGGTCCTGTCCTAAATATGTCCTAAGCCCTGTTCTCTTCACAACCCCATACTATCACAGCGTTCTCACAAAGCCATCAGATTACTGAAGAGGGCTCCAAATGGCGTATCTCTAAAACTTTAATGATTTTTCAAGTATCAAGCATCTGGAGACAAGTATGTTCCATAATCCATGCCACAGCGGAATATTCTACATTTTTCAGATTACCATAATTTTATATATATGTTCTATCACAGTTTTAAAAAATATTCTAATACAGAATTCTAAAAGAACTGCTAAATAATCTCACCAGCGTACCCTCAATATATTTTTTCTGTGCATCAGCTATATACAAATACCTGTAAAGATGGAATTTTGCTCATTTTATAAGAATCTATTTGGTTAGGGCTAAAATTAAATCCGTTAATATATTCACACATCTGACAAACTTCTATTTCTGGAAGCACTTTATTTATTTATTTTTAAAGATTTTATTTATTTATTCATAGAGACACAGACAGAGAGAAAGGCAGAGACACAAGCAGAGGGAGAAGCAGGCTCCATGCAGGGAGCCGGGTGTGGAACTCCATCCCTGGTCTCCAGGATCACACCCCAGGCTGCAGATGGTGCTAAACCGCTGTGCCACAGGGGCTGCCCAAGTACTTTGTTTTAAAGCTGTTAAATAAACTTGTAATTTAATTTTGTATATACTTAACTAGTAGTATGGAATATTCACCTTTCGTAAAATTCAACAATTCACTCTGGCATAACTAAACACTAGAACAGAGGAGCAGTCATGGGATAATGTCCTTCATCAGTATTCTTGTAAGGGGGCTGAAATGCAGAGCTTACTTCTTTCTTTATATGGAGAAGTAATTTTCCAGTACTATTCTATGTAGATTATAGACATTTTTCTAATATATAGTGCAAACATTTCCTTTATTTCTTAACAGTGGGTAGAAGTATTAAACCTTATTTTTTTTGATTCAGGTTTATCAAATAAAAGACTAAGTGAAATAAGCCAGACATAAATATTGTATGATTTCACATGAGGAATCTTAAAAAAATTAAAAAGAAAAGTCAAATTCATGGTAACAGAGTAGAATAGAGTGGT